TGTCTTCAATCGGCTTCGGGTGCAAGCGCCGACATCTTAAGTAAGGGAAACTGCCTTGTAGCTTCACAGCTGGTTTCCAACTGTGCATGCGTAAAGTGCACTCTGCTTTGTTAATGGTTCCGCAGTCTTCTGGGACCTGTGAAGAGTCCCAAAGGGCTGCTGGGGAAGGAGAGGGGCCAAACTTCCGGCTCAGATCTCCGCAGCGCATCTGACTGAAAGTGGGAGCAGTTACCTGTCAAAAGCAGGTACTTGCAACCCCCCCCCCCCTCCACAAAAGTACCAAATGTGGTAATAAAGTGGGGGGAGAATGCAAACAAGTGGAACTACCCCTTTTAGGGGAAGTTCCGCTTTACTGCAAATAATTAGCTCAGTGTGTATTATTTATTTTAAAAATGTGTATGTAATGTTTGTAATTGTGTATATTAGTAGCCTCATGTTATTAAATATGAAGGTTACATTCTGGCTTAATAGTGCTACACAATGGCATTGCATTGTCCTTACTGCTCCTCTCTCTCAGTGCAAGGCCACCATAATATTTTGAAATCTACAGCATTTATACTTAAGAAACCCATTAAACCCAAAAATAAAAATTGATTAAAAATTGCAGCTTACCAATTAGTTTGGTCTGCATTATTTTTTATTTTCATCTGTTGATCCAGTAAGTCTGTTATTTTTCAACTTACTCATTGGACCAAGCTGTCCAGACAAAGTAGCAGTTGGAGAGTTGAGACAAACCATTTGCCACTCACAGGGGAGCATATAATGGTCAGAGTTTATTCATTTATTAAAAAACCTTTATTCCAAAAAGGAAAAAAAACGGTTTGCTTTAACTGCTCCTAAAGTGTTAGCTGGAGTTCAGCTTCAATGGGTACACACACTGATAGATAAGTATTTTTAGCTTAAAATGATACTAAAGCTAAAAACATTTTTTATATTTGTCTGTGCTCCGTTTCCCTGAGTGAAGTGGAAGAGAGGGGAGAATAGATCTAGCACTGTGCATGGCTGCTTCTTTTCTCCCTTCTCTTCCTTTTCACACAGCAGTTATGCAACAGAAGGAGCCATTGGCTCCTGCTGCTGTCAATCAAATGCAGTGAAGAATTGTGGAAGGGGCTAGGTCCCGCTGTGTAAGTCTATGGGAGCATGGCTCCATAGACACACAGCTCAGGGGCAAGCAGACACTATATGCCCCCATAGAAAGCCACTTGCTATGGGGACACAAGAAGAGGAGGAGGAGTCATGATCGCCAGTGGGGGACCCGAGAAGAGGAGTATAGGGGCCGCTATGTGCAATACCACTGCACAAAGCAGGTAAGTATGACATTTTGTAATTTAAAAAAAATTAAATTAGTAAAACTTCAACTAGCAGGCTGCGTGGAAAAAAAACGTTTTGCCATCCACACAAGCAATATGGATGCAGGAATTTCCCCTGCTATTGTATTCTGACCCCTGTAAGAATATACTGATCAGCACTGCAACAGCTGATCAAATACTGGCTTTCCAGGAGGACTAACAATAGGATTCCATTGAACACATGGATCACATGTAAAACCCTATTTCTCAATTCCAAACTCTGTTCTCACCAACCTGGGAGTTTTGGTTGTGTTCCTGTCTACCCTTGGCATTTTAAATCCTCTCCTATCCATATTATACATCACAGAGAATCCAATAGTGATAGTAGGAACCCCTCATTAGGGTGATGATAGCTATGCAGACCCAGGACTTCTAGCACAGATAAACACTTTTTTCAAAAAAATAGCCAAATTTATCCATATATCTAGATTTCTTTTTTTTTTTATCAAACTTTCCTGTAATGTGGTTTCACTAGTTAAAAGTAGGTCACATAATTGCTGTATTTGTGTGCGCTGTGGGGCATTACATCACTAGGAGAAATGATGTTGGCTGCTGGGCGCACAACGCAATGAAACACAATCAGACCCAGCAGCTACACAGGAGGGGACTGAAGGGGAGGAGTTGCTGAAGGGGAATACAGCGCAAATCAAGCTAGAATGGATGAGCGAGAAGAAAGGGGGTGGGGGGTGAGAGCAGCTCAGTACTGACAATGAAAGGTGCAGGTCCCAAACATACTGTGAGATATCACAAGATGTACACTACCACACTAGCATGGATCAGCTGCCATGTAAGCGTGGTCAGTTTACTCTCAGGAGGAAGGGTACAGGCAGAATCAACCAGGAATTACAGAACAACAGCATGCACAAATAAAATAGTAACATTAAAAAGTACATTTATATACATTATATACATTAAAGATCAAGTAACCTTTTTTTTTTTTTTTTAAGGTTTACACTTTAAATCTCCAGCATTTACCAAAAATATTGGGTGGACTGAATTTTTCATTTCTTTTAGGCAAGAATTTTGTGATCTTTCGGGGGGGGGGGGGGGGGGGTTTTTTTGACTGTACAAAAACCATGTATACCCAATGTAGTAGATTTGCCATATAAATACAATTCACAGGCTCCACCATTTTACAATGAAGTATTTGTCTGCTAGTCTTCAACCGCTGATATCTCTCATTGTTTTGGACAAAATCACAATCCAGTGTAGACTTCATGTTAAATAAGATGTCCAGTAAAGGAGTTTTCTTCCGGTTTTATATTCTCGTTAGTGAGGTTGAACAGTTGGGATTTGTTGTCTTCATTAGTCCTTTTCAAGATCTCTGATTTCGAGACATTTCCATCAGATTTTGTATTTCGCAACAACAGACCTACAACGACTGCACTAGCCACATAGAGGACTATGAGAATCACAGCAAACACAGATGCCGCCATCTCTGTGCCCATTATGTCGCAGTTCACGGAATTGTAGCCATGACGATGGTAGAGGGACTCACGTTGCTTACACAAGTCTGTAGCATTAATCTGTTTGATAAAGTGAATGTAGAGTGCAACACATACGATATAGATGAGGGTAGATATCACATTAAAGCCCTCTTCGGCCAGTAAAAGCATTCTGTTATGAGCAACACGAGACACGCAACCAGTTGAAAAAAATGACAGTGTCAAAGCGAGCATGAGAAGACTGATGGCAACGGCAGCATAAATAGTAGGCAGCTTCATCTGGCTGTACTGCACGTCTAATTGTGCAACCTGATCCACTTCGCTCCCTACAAATCCACTCATAGCATACCCCATGCTGTAATAGTAAGAACTGCCAAATCCTCCAATGCTGGAAAATCCGGCTGATGCACTTTCAGTAGTTGAAGCACATATCAAGATCAACAGATTTAGAAGAATCTCCACCAGCTGCAACATACCTGTGAAAAGCCGAAGCAATGGAGCCAATTAACAGAAACATTCTTTGTAAGAAATGCAAAAGAATTAATGTGAAAATTTGATTTAATTTATATATGGGGGGAAAAAGAATTTCTAAAGCTGCTTTATGACATGGCATTTTTCTACATAATAGCTGCAAACTCCCAGCTGAACTGTGGGACTGCAGAGGAATTTATAGATACATTCTTAGCGATTTTCAGTATATCTACTTTATTTTGTTATAGGTGTAACTCTATTTTAAAATATGTAGTGTCTCCATAAGATAAAATCTTTCATAGGTGGGTCAAATTACGAACGATTTTTCGATCGAAAATCGTAAACATTATTTGTTCTGTAATCCGATGGTGCCATTTTTCACAAATTTTCCAGCATGCCCGATAAACGAAATGGGAAGGAAGCACAAAAATCGGCCGGTGCCATTGCCCCACTAACAGGTCCGATTTTCGAATGAAAAATCGTTTGAAAATCGACCCATGTATGGCCGGCCTAAGTGTATCTAAAATAAAAAAACCTTAAAAATAATCACAAGGGACACAACAGTCAGTATGTCGTCTCCCTTGTGGCAATTTCTCTTCTGTTATTAGAAATCCTCCTCCATCCCATGCCCCAACACCCCCCTGCTGTAATCTTTGGGTGCAGCAGGGGTTAATACAACTAAGGGGCTGTCACAGGTCCTTATCAAGAGTGACCAACTATGCCTGCCATTTCTGTTCTGATTCTACGTTCATAGAAGCCATGCAACAGCTTCTATGAATGAAACTGGATCTATGAATGGAGGGGGCAGACCTTTTATTCATCTACCCGTCCTCCATTATTAGATCTACTTTCATTTGTAGAAGTTGTGCTATACCTTTTAAGAATTCACTTCCTATAAATATCCTTTTATTTCTGGTTGTGCCAAGGAATTAGGGAAAAACACCCCACTGGGATACAGACACCACCACCAATTTTATAGGTTAAGCAAGCTTTTATATTTCAAACCCACTCACACATATGCACGCATACATAAATCTCCTTTGTAGGGACACAGACAGTATTTAAACATAGGAAATAAAGGAAAGGGGTAGGTGCTGGATCTCTTAAAGTAGTATGTGTCTTGGTCAGGTTTTAAGCAGTACAAATGTAACGATTCTCTTTAAGTGTCCCTTCCAGGAGTGGTGGCTGAAGGACTATCTAAAGGCCTAAAGCAGGGGTGTCAAATTGGCGGCCCTTCAGCTGTTGTGAAACTACAAGTCCCATCATGCCTCTGCCTTTGGGAGTCATGCTTGTAACTGACAATCTTGCAATGCTTCATGGGACTTGTACTTTGCCAACAGCTGGAGGGCCACCAGTTTGACACCCGTGGCCTAAAGGAAGGTGTAAGCAGATTCTTCCTTAGATATTAGTGCTCGTTCACACCATACGTGCATGAAAATTTATAGAAACTGTCGTGAAGATTTCACTTGCAGAGACATCAGTTTACATTGGTTTTCATGTAAGCTTCAATGAGTTTTATACACATTGCAGGATTAATGGCACCTGCATGCGTTCAGCATGTATTTCTGTCCGGGTGGTTGCGGCTGTGGGAAGAGGTGCAAACCCAGAGCAGGATGTGAGATGTTCACAGATGTGAACCTAGACTTAAGGTAGGACTATTTCATGGGAAGAAGGTAGCACCAGGGGAATTACTAAAGAGCAGAAACAACTAAAGAGCACTTAAAAGAGAATGTACAGGAACAGGGGCGGACTGACCATTTGGAAACTCGGGTACTGCCTGAGGGCCCGGGGTCAGTAGGGGGCCCCATGAGATGCCCCTGGTACCTTTTTCATAGGCTTTTTTGAGTTTGGGCAAGGACACAGGGGCCCCATGGTCCCCTATTGCCCGGGGCCCCATGAGTTGTCAGTCCGCCCCTGTACAGGAATCTATATGGAAACTTTTGCTGAGAACTGTTCATCTGTTATATTTAACCACTTGACTACTTCAGTTTGTTGTTAAGTCAATCTGTCTGGTCTGAATTCACTAAAGAGGTGAATGCATGGTGTATCAAAGAACAGGACTTATAAGGGGGATGAAGAGAAGTTCGTGTGAACATTACAAGAGTCTAACCTGCAGCAGAAAGAGAAGAGTCTATGTTGCCATTGCTAGGAGAAACCAGAGTAATGTCGAATGCTTAAGCAGCCAGTCAGTGGAAATCTTGTTGACATGGCATGGGTGATGGAAGGCTCTGGTAGAGAGGGTGTTGTGAGCTTGGCCCCCTCCCTAGCAATTGGATCCCCACATACATAGACCAATGTCATGGCACAGGGTATCCCATGGTGTCACAGAAAAGGAGAAGCTCAGGAACATGTGAATACATGATCTCTATATGTAAAGGAGAAGTCTCATATTGGCACTGGAAGTAAGGTGACATGTCGGGCCATGCTGGTGGAGTGGGTACAGGCTCAGCAGTGTCCAACCGAAATAGCTGAATCCATAGCTAGAAGCTACAGAACAACCAAATGAGGTGTAAGGAGTGAGTGACACATACAGAAAGGGTTATCTGTGCAAGTAAAGTTGGCTCACTTCTGATGATTTCACGTGACCATGGCCTCCTCCTGTATGTGCGGGCATTAATGTGCGCTACTACTGAGGCCACCAAATTGGCATTTAAAGCTCTGCCACAACTTCATGATTAATTGACTTAAAATAACACATGCAGTATTTAACTCAGGAAAGTGAAAATTCACAAAAATGTCAACACGGTAAATACCATATAAGTTAAATTTTTTTATTTTGTGTTATTTAATGTAAGTTTTTGCATTTTATTTTACTGCGGACTGGCTGCAATGGGAACTGAAACATTTACAGTAGCAGTGGTATTCCTACCAATGCTAAATGTTATAGTTCAGCTCAGGGCTGCTGGTTGTTAAAAATCAGGCACCCACCAGCCACTTCACAACCAGCGGCTCCTCTCTGCTGTCAGTAGGGATTTCCCACTGACAGCAGAAAGTAAAGAAAAGAGGCGACTAAAAAAACTGTGTGCCTTGCCCTTTGGGTCTGGTATGGATTTTAGGGGGGCCTCATGCCAAAAAATAAAATAATGGCATGAGGTCCCCACAAAATCCATACCAGACCCTTATCCAAACATGCAGCCTGGCAAGCCAAGAAAGAGGGGGGACAAGAGTGCAGCCCCCCACCTCCTGAAAAATATCAGGTCACATGTGCTCAACATTAGGGGGATGCTTTGCTAGGAGAGGGCCCCCTGACAAAACACCTTGTCTCCATGTTGATGAGGACAAAGATCAGGTGGTTGGGGGGGGGGGGGGGGGGGGGTGACTTATTGGAATCTGAAAGCCCCCAGATCGTGGCTCCCCCATATAATTGAGCATGGCCTACTGACTCACCAAAAAAATGACTAGTGTAAATAAAAAACAGCACACTGTTTTTGACAAGTCCTTTATTAAAAAAAAAAAAAACAACAAAAAAAAAACAAATAGCAAATTACCCCCAATGTAATTCCTTCATTAATCACAATGAATGCAGCTTGCACAAAAAAACCCTGACGTTAGGCTCCCACTAACAGACATGCTGCTTCCCAGGGGTGGGGTTCATGACGCCACTGGGAAACCCCATCCCTTATGAAGTCATGGACCTCCGCCCCCTTGTTTACTTGAGCGCTGGGGGGGAAGCGGTGTGTCAGTCAAGGGGTTATTTTTTTTTGTGCGGGTAGCATGTGGCGTTCATCATAATGGATGATGGATGATGGATATACTTTGAGGGACATTTACGGGTTTTTTATTTTTTTATTAAAGAACCTGTCAAAAGCGGTGTTCTGTTTTTATTTACACTAGTCTTTTTTTGGTGAGGAACTCATTCACCAAAATGATACTCAGTCACATTGGGGGGGGGGGGGCTGGGACCTGGGGGCTCCCTTGTTAAAGGGGGCTTCCAGATTCCAATAAGTCACCCACACAGCTATGAGGGCCAGGGCTATGCGGAAGAGGCCCTCATCCTCATCAACATGGGGATACGGCACTTTGCCACCCCCCCTTTCTAGCAAAGCACCCCCTATGTTGAGGACATGTAGCCTGGTATGCTTCAGGAGACAGGGGCCGCATGCTTGGAACACCATTTGTATTTTTGGCATGTGGTCCAATACAAAATGAATAGCAGATCCGAAGAGCCTGGAATGGATTGCAGGGGGTGGGGGAATTAGCTGCTCCCTAGTTAAGGATGCGTTATATATTGCAGTTCACCTTTCCTTAGAGGTGGCCGCTGCATTCATTTTCTATTTTGATTATTTTCCTTTATTTTCAAAAGGTGATCCTGCCAGCAACTTTCTGGGAGAGGCAGAATTTTTAGCCTACCACAACCACCTCCCCTCTTCTCCCTAACAGGGGGTAGTGTTCTGTAGCTGACAACAGCAACGCAAAAGGAAGTTACCAGTTGACAATATTTCTGTTCAAATCAATAGGTATTTTTTTTTTACACTTATTAAACAGATAGAACACTATGCTCTCAATGGCATATTTATAGTGGTTGTAAACCTTCTATCTACCCAGTGAAGTGACTAGCCTTAGGTGTTACACAGATTAAACAAGTCCTCCTACATGTCTGCAGCCTTCTCTCATCTACAGTCTCTTAAAGCATTTCACACAGAATTTCTGAGCTTCAGAAGGCAAAGGGAAGGGATCGGATGTCACACAATGCACTGCATAGGGCAGGGAGCTGAAAGTAATCTGAGACCTGAGTGAAGGAAATGGACACACCTCCTCTACACAGGCTCATAGGGAAACATGCACAGCCAAGGCTGTAAATCACCTTTTATGTGTCCTTGGGGTTGGTCAAGGCCATCTTCCAGGATTGCTTGGTATGGGCACAGATTCTCAGAAGTTAATCATGCAGATAGCAGAGGAATGAAAAAATAGACAAAAATCACACCAAGTGCTTCGGATCAAGGCAAGTACACACTATAGAAAGGTATGCTTTGTTCATTTTGCATTGTCAAGGTTTACAACCACTTTAACAAACCACTTTAACAAACCAAAAGGCACAAGTAAGAGAAGAGAAGATTATTGTTATGGTTTACAAACCCTGTAATAGGGGGCCCTAGGAGCTATAGTATATGTTTTTGACAAGTGTCCTATACACTGAGCAGCCATAACATTATGACCACCGACCTATATATAGTAGGTCCCCCCCTTTTGCTTCCAAAACAGCCTTGACCCATTGAAGCTCCACAAGACTTCTGAAGGTATGCTGTAGTATCTGGCACCAAGCTGTCAGTAGCATCACACTGCCTCCACCGGCTTGCCTTCTTCCCATACTGTATCCTGGTGCCAACACTTCCCCAAGCAAGTGACGCACATGCACCTGGCCATCCACATGATGTAAAAGAAAATGTAATACATCAGACCAGGCCACCTTCTCCCATTGTTCCATTTCTGATGCTCTCTCGTGCCCATTGCAAGCGGTTTTGGCTCTGGACATGGGGCAGCATGGGCACCCTGACCTGTCTGCGGCTATGCAGCCCCATACGCAACAAACTGTGATGAACTGTGTGTTCTAACACCTTTTTTTTGGGAACCACTTTTGTTTCAGCAATTTGAGCTACAGGCTTTCTTTTATTGAACTGGACTATATGGGCCAGCCTTCAACCCCCAACGTAAATCAGCTTTGGCTGCCAATTAACCTGATGCCAGTTAGCTGGTTTTCCTTTCTTGGACCACTTTTGGTAGGTTTTCATCACTGCAGATTGGGAACATCACACGCGAACTGCAGTTTTGGAATTTCTCTAACCCAGTCATCTAGCCATTACCATTTGGTCCTTGTCAAAGTCACTCAAATGCTTAACCTTGCCCATTTTTTATGCTTTCAACACATCAGCTTCAGGAACAACATGTTCACTCGCTGTGTATTATAACCCCCACACATTCTGGTGCCATCATCATGTAAGTACCTGACAACAGGAAATGTCAATGTGAGACATTTGTGTGACATCAGCCTTACACGTTGAGTAAGGAATAAATAATGTACGCCGGTCTGAGAAATACATAATGTACAGTTTGTACCAGCACCAGAATATCTCAGTTCGCCTATAATTGTTATGTATATCCATATGTTTAATTATTTTTTGTCCAGCTATATAAAACCGTATTGTTTTATTAAAAGGGGGAAAATTAGTTTCATTGTTTTTAAACTAGAAAAATGTGTGATGTCACATTAAACTAATAAACTAAATGTGTTTTGTGTTATTTGGACAATAACCTGGATTCAGCTCTCCTCAGTGGACTCTCTGTGGTATTTTAATGCACAAATACAATTCTAAATTGTATTTCTATTATTTTCTAGGCTTTTGCTTTTAATTATAAAGGGGTTTCCAGCCAATGGCTTCTTATATAATGCATTAATTATGGCATGAGTGAGGCTGCCACATTTGTTGGAATCTCAGAGAACAATAAAGTATTATACTGCAAACCCTAACGATTTAAGCCTGTGGTTTACATATACCATATTATATTTACTTTTACAATTATTACATTTTTATTAGATTAAAAAATAATCCTGAGTAGAAAAGCTTGTTCCCTTCCAGCATGCTGTAGAGCAGCCTCTCTCAACCATTTTAGCCTGAAAATGTTTTCAGGTTTCAGGGAACCTCTTTTTAAAAATTATAATACCTACAGCTCACAGTAGCGCAACCACAGCAGTCGAAGTCAGCATCTTCGTTCTGCCCTTCACAGTGCCCCTTTGCCCTTGAATTTGCGAAGACCAGGTAGCGTTTCACAGTGCCCTTCCATGTGAAGAGAAATACACCTTCTTCATCTTGTCTTCCTGATGGCTTGCCTTCAAGTGTTTGTACCACACCTTGTATACACAGGATCCGTGAGTTGTAGAAAGTTTTAAATAAAAGAATGTGGTGTAGATTAAAAAATTTGACACCAAG